CAAACGTTAAAATAAAATATGAGAAGTAACAAAGGAAGTAGTGTTTTTTAAAATTATTCCATTTGGATTTTGTCATAGTAAAAGCACAATTTTACCGTTATGGTACGTGTTTTCGATTTAAGTCGTATATATTTCCTACGGTTTTTTTATTTAAAATCACAACGTCTAAAATTTTACACCATTCATACATTATTTTTTTATCGTCTTTTGTATTTATACATTAGAAAAAAAAAATTAGTCATACGAGAACGTGTTAGATTCGTCTCGATTTATACTTAATATAATTTTATTACAATCCTACTTAAGATGTTTAAATTATAAAATGTGCATTGGCACACGTAAATCAAAACTATTACAAATATATTCTTAAAACTTTTTTTTATACAAAAACAAAACTAGTCACACTTATACTGCAATACAGATCCCAATCCACTGTGGTTATCATCAATATACCAAAATAGCACTGATTATTTATTATCAAAATGAACATTAGCCAGTTAAGATCCTTTTTTTTGTTTTTTTCCTTTTGAGGAAAGGTAAGAACTTAATAAGAATTGAAAGTACTGAGCATCTATTTCTATGTACTTAAACAGTCCAAAATCAAAATTATCATCATTTTAAATCTATTTCTATGTAACTGAAAAATCCAAAGTTGGAACACCTTACTTTATGTTTATTACTTACAACTGGGAAGGGGCCGCGCGAACGCAGGCCCCCACTACCACAAATTATGACGTACGCTCTCCCACTTGGGGAGACGTTAGGCAGGCACCCCTCCGGTATGTGCAATGGAGGCCACCAACCTAGGCCATGGGCCTTCTTGATCGCCCATAGACCCCGTCCAGGTAAGTGATTTAAGCGAGGTCTATCCATCTTTATTTATACTAACTCTTTCTCACTTTCTTTCCTATCTGACCGATGTGGGATGCAAATGTCAGTCAACTCAAAGTTGTCCCATAACTGCTATCAATTTTTAATGGGTATACTAAGGATTCTAACTTCTAAGCCTTCAAATTGACCTTATTACCTCAAATCTATTGCAATATATTGTCCTTTATAAAGTGATTATTAACCAAAATTGGACCGATGCAAGATAAAATGAGAAAGTGAAATATTAGGTGAACTACTTATTTCAATATATATGGTTGAATGTTCATATATAAGTGGAATACACTAAACGAGACTTTCGTGTTAGCACTCCATACAAACTAAAAAAAATAAAAAAATTGACATGGGAAATGACTTGCCTGGCTTCATTAGTTAAGTCACACTTCATAAATTGTAATTAAGGATGTAGAAAATCTCTAATTTATTAGCCCATCGTGATAAGTTGTTTCCTCATTCTTATGTGCCCCAATATGTCAATACTACGACCAATTTTTGAGAGAAAATTAAAGTTTATAACCTTGATAAATAGGTTGTGTTTAATAAGGGGTGTTTTTGTAAACTCGTGTGCAACAAAGGGAATTATGTGCGCCATATGTTAGTGCTACTACCATTTTTTTTTTAGAGAAAATGCAAGTTTATAAACTTGATAAACTGGTTGTGTCTATCAAGGGGTGTTTTTGTAAAACCGGGTGGTAAGGAAGGAGATATATTTGTAAAATTCACAGTTAGTAAGTACCGTTGGTTTCATTATTTGGTTTTTAAGGTTTTAATTTAATCTGAAATATTAGGACTTTGTTCCGCTTTTGCTCAATATATTTGAGCAATTGATTTCTTGCTCTTTGGCTCAGCATCTTAATTATAATCAACACGATTTTGCAATGGACTAAATGATAAGTTGTTTCAGGGTACAAGTATTAGGTAGGAATATAAAAAGAGTTTAGCTCTCTCATTCAATTTTAATCACAAATACTTGCTTTCCAACCAAAACAAAACTAATGAAAGTAATGATAATTATTGCATTTAGTTAGGATTAGTGATAATACAAATAAATCAATCGTTTTAATATCAAGCATGTGAACTAATTTAACTAATATATGACTGTCCTCAAAATCACACTTTCTTTGTTCTTTTTTACTTGATCTGTTTCTTTTATCACGCTTGTCAATGCAAAACTTTAACGATTATTAACTTTAATTCTTCATAAGTAAAAATTATAAAAGTTATATATTATGATAGTACTTATTGAGACGAATTAAAATAAATTCCACATGAATATGTTTTTCATTATATATTATTCACAAAAGACGGTCAAAGGAAATATCATAAATAGTGTAAAAGTCAAAACGGGTCAAATAAAAAAAACAAAACACGTAACTCTGATCTCCTGGAAATAACTCTCACTATATCGGGAAGTGTGGGAATAAATTTGGGAGATACTGAGTAGTTGACAGTGGGTAAAGGTGATAAAGCAACAACATTAACAATAACTTGTGTGATAATTTATGTAATGATGTGGCTGAAAGCAAAGTGGTATATCTGCGGCGAGTAAATTAAAGGTGAACAAAAAGAATAAGGTGTCATTTGATTGTTATGAAAATTTACTTTTTATACCGATTTATATTTTATGGGAATTAAATTATTACATCAAATTCATGAGAATTGTATAAAGTTGTTTGGTTGGAATGAAGGAAGTTGTAAATTATGAGAATTTTGACTTACTGAGGGGGTTGGATAATTAACTTCCCATATTTTGTGGAAAGTCACAATTCCCTCATTTATACTTTTTATTGTCAACCAAACAACTCCATTTTCAAATTTCCATGATTTTCCACTTCCCCATTTTCTCTGTGTAACTAAATAACCCCTAAAACGTGAATAAAAACTTTTAGTTTTAACGGATTTTTCAGTTACAACCTTACTTCGTGACAATACATTGTGCGTTTTCTTTATTTTTTTATTTGGTGTATCTAGCCTAATAATCTCAAATAATAGCCAAATCGAGACACGTGTTCCGCTGCAAGTATGCATGTTGAAATGGTTTAATTACTTTACTTTCTCATTAATAACATATGATTTCATTTTCTTATCAGGCCATCTTCATTGGTGAAACTCAATTTTGAGTATTAAAATACAAAATAAGTTATTTTTTTACCTTTAATGCTGATACCCAACCTACTTCTCAATTTAGCAACTCATATGAAGTCTAAATTTTCAATGGTGAGACTTTTAAAGTATACTAGTGTCACTTTCAATTTATGGTCCACCAAATCCATATTGTAAGTTTTTTTAAAAAAAAAAATAAATAAATAAAATTAAAACTTAAATAAATTACAAAATATATTATAATATTGATAGCCCACACTTTTTGTCAAATGAAATTCAAAGTTGAGTATCTAAACTTAATAACTTTCTTTTAGAGTTTCTAAGTTTAGGTACCAACTTATTGGTATCCTTTGCAAAAAATACTCTCTATCTCCTAAAAAAACTCCCTTAAGTCTCACCATTAGAGATGGTCTTAGTTAACATATTTCAACTTTGACACTACTTACATAACTTCTCACTTATACAAGACATACATAAGCTTGTACTTCCTTCTCTGAAATACATTATGGGTGTGATCTCTTCCCCTTATTGAAACTTAATACGGAAGTAGATTTTAATATTTTGAACTTATTAAACTTGGTTGAAGCTATTGAAACTTGGCTGAACTTATTGAAATATATAAGACATTATTATTATGTATGTTTGGTAAAATATATCTTTGTTTTTATTTTTAGAAAGGTAAGATATGATGGGAGATTAGGATTATAATACAAGTATATATTTTATTAAGGTAAGATTAGGCCCTGTAAAAACAAGTTCAGTTCGGTAAAAATAAGTTCAGTTCAATAAAAATAATTGCAGTTCAACAGTAACTTTAAAGAAGAAATATAAATAGAAAATCAGTAAAAATAATTTCGATTAAGCAAAAATAATTTCAATTCAGTAAAATTAATTTCAGTTCAATAAAAATAATTTAAATTGAGCAAAAATAATTTCAGTTAAGTAAATTTAATTTCAGTTCAGCAAAAATAAGATGAAGTAAACGGGGCCTAAGAATTGGAAAAAAATCAAATGGGACTAAATAAGAGACAAGTGTATTATTAGCATAATAAAGATTTGGATAGAATGAATTAGGCAAGGGCCGCGACGAGCGCAGGCCCTCTCTACCACAAATTACGACGTACAGTCTCCCATCAAGGGAGATGTTAGGCAGGTGCACCTCCCCAATGATGTGCAATGGAAGCCACCAGCCTAGGCCATGGGCCTTCTTGATCACCCATTAGCCCCGTCCAGGTATGTAAGTTTTTCCGTTCCTTTTCCAATTTATTTTATACCCTCCTTTTCCTCCCCCTCTTTTCGTTTTCCCATGTGGGACTTTCTATTGCTTTGCATTCCTCACGCCTATTCTACCTTAATGTTATCACGTTCTTCCCACTGAAACTATAATTATTTGGTGATTAGTACGCTTAACAATCTCTTTAAGCAGTTGATGACCTGATTAATGTTAGTTGTTGTGAGGTTTGGTGAAAGTGGGTAGAAACAAGGAAGAAGGACGACTATATATAGAAGGGATTTGGTGAGCAATTAATAGGTTGGTTTGGATCAACCTTGCAAGACCGTTGAATAGATTAGTTTAGGAAAATAATTACCTTTAGGCGCAGGCTAAAAAAAATATTATTGATAAATTTACTTGATAGCAGTGCTTATATGATTTAACATTGACGTTTAGTACAAATTTATACTCTGTATTAGATTGAAAAGTAGTGCTTACATTACATGAATCGTATTTTGAACGTTTAATATCTAAAAAGGTTCCACTACGCGGGTGAAATATGTAAATTTCACCATATAATACATCAAAAGTAGTCATATTCATACTACGCAATATTTATAGATTAAAAAATACAAGTAGTGCTTACATGGATCAAAATTTAAACGTTAGTACATGACAACAGACACTTTTTTATTTATTTAACGGACAATATATACTAACTTATGCTTATCGCTGACCATATCACATGGTGACATGGATTTAGAATTAAAAAACCTTAATAAAACCCAAAACAATCGTGTAGATAATGCTTTACTAGTTTACTCCAAAAATAGTGTTTTATTCGATCCTTTAAGAAACAGAGACTTCAGGCCACCTCTTTTGACCTCTAAGGCTCTAACATTCAAGAATTCAAGATCTAAATATCTAACAGCTTAAAGCTGAATTCATACTGATTACTGAAACTCTCTTACAATCTCAAAACTCACAAATCACCTTCCTGTTCTACTGGAAAACGGGTATAATTTTCTTATCCTTTTACCTTTTTGGTTCTTATGAATTTTTATTTTTTTTTCGTCAATTACTTTTGGGTAAATTAGCTGTGATTTAGAGGTTTAATATTTGTGTTTGTAAGAGAGAGCAATGAAGACAGTGAACTTTTATCTTTGAATCATGTTAATGTCCATAAAAATTGCTTGTACCGTACAGCTTGTTTGTTATGGTGTCTCCATGAAACAACCTCAGCTCGGTTAGAGGCCGAGAAAAAATATTTATAATTGTCACACTGTCCTAACCCCTCATATTCAAGGTTACGAGTCTTACGACCTGATGACTAAAATCCACTTGTTGAGCTTGCTTTCTCTTCCCTTTCTCTTTTTCTTGTGTGCTTAGCATTTCAATAGTGTACGTTATTGCTCGATTATTAAAAGATTATTTTTGTTGTTCCAAAAATAATAGCATGATGACAAGGAGTTTAATTACTTCCGTAAGGTCTGATGCAAATGAACTAGCTATATAAATCCTCGAATCTTACTATGAGTGGCATTTTAGTGATAGTGTAATGGTAAGGAGTTGAATTATTTCTGTTTGTTCTGATGCAAATGGTATACTTTTCTCATAATTTGTACTAATATGAGTGGCATTTTAATGATGGTCTTATTAATGATAGTCTAATGCCAAGGAGCTCAATTATTTCTGTAAGGTGGGATGCAAATAAAATTGCTAGTATAAGTTTCTTGAAATTTGTACTATGAATGGCATGATGTTTGTTCTCTTAAATTTGTACTAGTATTAGTACACTTAGTAGTACATGATGTTTGTTCTCTTAAATTTGTAAAGGTAAATTGCAAATCTGTTTACAGCTTTAAATTTTTTGCAGTAGTGTTTGAATATATGGAAGGGGAGTGCAGCATTGCGAAAGATGTGACTGAAGTAAGTATTTCTGATTATTGTTGTTCGACTATTTGCTTGTTTCCTTTTGCAAGAGTGATGGATACTCATATCTCAATTATTTAAACGAGCTAGCCAATTTTGTGCCTGATTTATAGATTAAAGTTACAGGAAAGTTGTGTAACATATGATTGTTTCTGATGCTACTACTTTCTTCGACTTGCAGTTGGTGGGAAACACACCTATGGTGTATCTTAATCATGTTGTAGATGGTTGTGTTGCGCGCATTGCAGCTAAGCTTGAAATGATGGAACCATACTCCAGTGTTAAAGACAGGTGATTCACCCCATAAATTTGTACAAAGGCAACTGCAGATTTACCTATTTTCATCAAAACAATATAAAAAAAAAAAAAAAAAATTCATTTTACTTAACTCAATTTCAGGATAGCAGTTACTATGATTAAGGATGCTGAAGAAAAAGGCTTGATTTCTCCGGAGAAGGTGTGTCTTCATATACCATTTATTTTTCTTTTCATTTTTACTTCTTTCTCCACTACTTTTTTGAGAGTACTCAGTCTAGAAAAGTGAATGTTCTAGGATTTAGTTCACATGACAAAATGTTGTTGCTAAGTAGACTTTTTCTCTGGATGTCTAAAGACCGTTCTCATAGAAATGACAAGTGGTAATACTGGCATTGGATTGGCGTTTATTGCTGCTGCTAAGGGCTACAGGCTAATCATTGTAATGCCTTCGTATGTGAGTCTTGAGAGAAGAATAATTCTTCGAGCTTTGGGAGCAGAGTTGCATATCATGGGTCCAACAAAGGGCTTTCCTGACTTTATAGTCAAAGCCAAAGAATTATTGGACAAAACACCAGGTGGTTATTACATTAATCAATTTGAAAACCCTGGGAATCCAAAGGTATGCTGATCTTTGTTCTAAGAAATCAGTGCCAACTGCACACTCCATAGTTCAAATGGTTTTTTTTTAATTACTTTTTCCCCATGTGGATTTTGTGCTTGCAGACTCATTATGAAACCACCGGGCCAGAGATCTGGAGAGCCACGGAAGGGAAAATTGACGCCTTTGTCTCTGGCATCGGTACTGGTGGTACCATTGCTGGGACAGGAAGATTCCTTAAAGAGAAAAAATCTGCTATTAAGGTTTGGTTTTTCATTCTAGTCCATCATCCATTCACCTCCACCCCCCCCCCTCCCCCTTTTTATTTTCCTGCTTTTATATTTCTGGATGGCTTGTGGGGATCGGAGAAGGGATGGGTTTCTGCTCTTGCTAGTTAGACAGCTGAGGTATTGTTTTGAACATTGCATTCCCTGAGAGCTGTTTAATCTCCAGAATGCATTCAATCCTAACACCGGCTTGGCATTGGATCTTCCTGAAATTGTTCTCATTCATTTTTGCACCTTATTTTAATCTCAAGACTGCTGCTACTAAAGTGCAATTCTATGGTAAACTTCATACAAAAATATCCACCTTGCTTTCTTGTAAGCCTCTTCATACTGTGTTGCAGGTTTCTTCTTCTTATTACATTGATTCGAGTAAAAACTTGCTTCAATTCACAGTAGAATAAAAAAACCTGATATGGAAAGAAAAGATGGCAATGTTTTCCTCTTAACCTGACAAAAAGTATGTTTGTTATGTTGCAGAACATGGGAATTAACATACATGTCCTTGTTAGTTAGTCTTCTACAGTAGTGCTTGGTAAATGGAACATTCCTTTGTAGCTGTGAATAAGCATTGATTTTGCTTATGGAATGTGGGATTCCCCAATCCCGAATTTCTGATTTTGGAGGCAATTTATTTGAAATACGCAAAATTCATTCTATATCCTCTACTTTATATTTTCAGAAAGAAAACGTGAAATTGAGCTAGTACTTTCATCTCTTTAACTTTGGTGGTTCACATTCCCTCTCAGGTCTATGGTGTAGAGCCAACTGAAAGTGCAGTCTTAAATGGAGAAAAGCCTGGTGAGTCTGTAATATGTACACAGTACTGTGTACTTCACATGCTAAGATTTTGGTTGTGTGTAAGTGTTTGTGTTATGCATCTACGATCTACCTGATGAAAGTGTAGTATCTGCTAGCTAAGATTTGTAAATCAACCTCTTGTCATTTCTACTGCATTGCTGTAACTTCCCCAGCTATTACTTAAACACAGGCCTCATTTGAAGTTGTTGATAATATTTTGACTTTGCGTTTGTATTTTTAATTAATTTCGAGGAGCTGTGAATCACCTTGTGAAATTTACTATTTTATTAAGTAGACCTGTAGACCTGATGCTTCTCATGCAACAGGCAAGCACAGAATCCAAGGAATTGGAGCTGGTGTCATCCCTCCATTATTGGACTTTGACATAATTGAGGAAGTTTTAAAGGTAAGGTTCAGAAGCTTGCTCTCCATTATCAGTCAAAATTGAATTTTTGAAACAATTTGCCTTTACAAACTCAGATTAAACATTTAGAACGCCTACGTTATTTTGTGGGAGATGCTAAACAGAAAGTGTCCGGATTGAATTCAGCCTTAACTTTGGTTTATTATTTCTCCATAAAATTTCATTTTTAAGAACAAAAAAATTCGCTGCCCTATCCTAAGAGAAATTCTCCCTTAATTATGGTTATTCTTAAGAATGTGAGATGGGAAGTAATTAATCATATTTAACACATCATTCCTTGGGGTGACATGAAATAACTTTTAGATACAGTTAGTGTTCTCGCTCTTAAAAAATAACGCGGTGCATACTTTGCATTCTTTGAGCACTCATAACAAAAGGCAGCTTGCTTGCTTGCTTTTGGTCTCAATGACAAAGACAATAGTTTGAGTAACCATAAAAAGATTTGATTAAATGAATGCCGTGAAAACTGAAAATATACTTATTATTTAGAATGGCAATTATTGAGACTACTAGACTTTATGCAGTGCAAGTACAACTGCAGAATCTGGAATGTTAGGGTCTATGTCTAAGAATGTCTTATATATTCTCTGTCATTGTCATCACTTAGATGCAGTTCAAATTTTCAGTTCCGATTCTTTATTTTGGCCCTAAACAACCCAAATTGAGACAAGTAGATAGCTTGCATAACATCTTAATTTGATGTTTTAGGTGACAAGTGATGAAGCCATTGAAACTGCAAAGCTTCTTGCATTAAAAGAAGGTTTGCTGGTAAGATCACTTCAATTAATATTCTTTATATCATATCCATCTCAGTGATAACTGTGATGTGTTTTCATGCATCATATGTGAACTTGGTAAACCTGCAGGTTGGGATATCATCGGGAGCTGCTGTAGCTGCTGCTCTTAAATTAGCCAAACAGGCTGAATATGCTGGAAAATTGATTGTTGTAAGTAGGAAACCTTCTAGTTGGCACGACATTTTATAAATGATCTTGATTTTGTCCATCTGGGGAAACCAACTCATCGTGTCTGCATGCCATTTGAAAGAGGATAGGATATACGGAGTAGTCTTCATTTAAAAGAATTATAAATACACTATTTAGATTTAAGAAATGCCAACCCCATTAAACGCGGATAAGGTCAAGAGTTTACATTTTGGAGAATATTGCTCCTCAATCCTCATTTAGGCGGTAATAGTTCAGTATTATTACTGTATGTCCAAGGTAACCCATAACACACTTACACACCCAAAAATACAAGGTTGGGGCTGTCATTCCTCATATGCTACCTCTGAAAACTCAGTCTCCTGTATTGTTTATCAGCATTTGTACTGGTTTCTATCCAAAACAGCATTCTACATCAGGCAATTATATTCATACTCCTATATGCTTTGCAGGTGCTTATTCCAAGCTTTGGAGAGCGTTATTTATCTACCGAATTGTTTGAGTCAGAGAGGCATGAAGTGGAAGCCTTGACTTATGAAGAGGTCGATTTGCCAATGTCACTGTTATAAATGACCACCAAAAATGAGATTTGTTCAATTTGTAATGCCTTCGTAACTCAAATTGATAACAAATCTCATTATAATTTGCTTTTTCGATATGTAATAATGTTTGTATAAATCAATAAGGTATTACGTATGAGCTATACCAAAATAGAAGAGAAAAGCAACATTTGTGTTGAATTATACGACAATTGAATTTTTCTGAAAAAGATAACAATAAAGGGCAAATAATGTAGACGAAATTTGATCTCAAAGCCACCTTCATTACTTAAATAAACTTATGTGACTATGTATATAATGAAAGATATTTGATGATAACTAAACGTGAATTATAAAATCTAGTCTAAACTAGTTCTAATCTCAACAAAAAAAATATAACCCAAAATCAAGTAATTCAAGAAAATAAGCAAATAATAAGAGATAAATTGACAAGCACCCATAGTTATAATTAGGAAAAAGCAATTTCCATTGCTCCCTTCATGTGTTAATTTGACTTTGATGATCAAAATTTATAAGGTAGTTCTCCGTATTTTTTAAAAATAAATAATTTTTTTATTAATATAAAGCGTAATAAATTATATTTTAAATATTTGTTGTTTTTAAAAGAGTGTGAAATTATTATTCAAAGATCAATATTTAACACTTTATTTGGATTGAAGGAAATGGAGGAAAAGGAAGGGAAGATAAATTGAGGGATAAATAATCTCTCATTTGAATAACAAATGAGAAAGGAAGAAAATTGGAGGAAAAAGAAATGGAGGGATTAAATTGCAAGAAATTAATTTGATCCCTCTGACAATGGAGAGATTTGGAAGGAAAAATCTTCATTCTTCTCTCCCCTCCCCTTCTCCTCCCTCCTAATCTATCCAAACACATTGTAACAGAGTGAGTTTTAGTGACAAGTTATCATTTAAATTATGTTTATGTTTATAAAAATTACTTCATTCAACTATTTGATTAAAGGTTTTAGCTTTTTAATCAGAAAATACCAGTTTATCAATATGATAAACGAAATTTGTTTATCAAATGACAAAATTATAAATAAATAGACTACTTTTTATTAAATAGGAAAAATTACTTTAAATAATACGACTTTTAGCCCGTCCGCTAAAAACAAATCTATCTTTTGATTATCCCAGAATAATACCACCTTTGGGGAGTGTCCGCATTAAACAAGTTATTTTACCTACAACCTGAGTAACCGTTTAATTTTTTTTTCCTTTTTAATAAATTCATTTAACAATGTAATTAATCTTAATAACAACTTTAATTATGATTTTATTAACAATTAAATCAAAAAACAAAATAAAAAACAAAAAAAAAAACCAGCCCCCTCCTCATGCCCCTGCCACCCATCACCCTCCTCCCTTACCACCGCTCCCCCACCACTCCCTTACCCACCTTTTTTTTGAAATCAACCCCCTTCCCAGCCCCCCATTTCACCGGAAACCATCACCCCCACCGACCCACCCCACCTAAAACCACCCCAGCCCCTCCTTCACCTTTCCTTCTCCTTTTTCGGCCCCCTTCCTCTTCCCTTCCCTATTTCCGGTGCCCCTCCGCTTCCCTTTCTCCATTTCCAGTCCCCCCCTCTTCCCTTCCCCTTCCCCATTTCTAGCCCCCTACCACCTATCCCCTTCCCCGAAACCCTAACCAATCGAAAATGATGGTTGTGTAAAGGGGAAAGACTTGAAAGTGGGGACGATGAAGGGAGGGGTGATCGAATCTGCTACGGGGAGGAGAGGTGGGGGCTAAAATCGGGAACGGGGAAGGGAGGGGGCCCGAAATCGGGGTTGTGGTTCCCGGTGAAAGGGGAGCTGGCAAAGGGGGGTTTAAATTTTTTTTTTTTTTAATTTTAAGTTTTGATGAGGGTGGGGTGGCTATGGATGCGAGGGGAGGGGGTGATAGGCTTTTCCGGCGCGAGGAGGAGGCTGTGGCACCAGACGGCCGGGAAGAGGTGAAGGGGAAGGGGTGGCTGGTGGGGGAGGGGGTTATTTTTTTTTTACAAATATAATACTAATAATTAATATTATTATCTATTAAAAATTAAAATATTAAATAAAAAAACAAATTATATTTTTTTAACCCAATCAAGTTAACAACAGGTCATAACTTGTTTAAAGCGGACATCCCCAAAGGTGGTATTATTTTGAGATAATCAAAAGGTAAACTTGTTTTTAGCGGACGAGCTAAATGTCATATTATTTAAAGCAATTTTTCCTATTAATATGGGTCCCACTGTTGTTGATATATTTATGAAAATGACATGCTAACTGGACATTTATATTGTTTTATTTACCATTTTGCCATTTGATAAACAAATTTTGTTTATCAAATTGATTAATTGGGGCTTACTCCTTTTTAATCCATCATTTTAGACCCAATTTCTAAAAATCCACCAATTAGAGTTGAAAGTACAAAACTACCCCTTAGTCAACAATGGAGCCAAAGTCTGCTTTCATCTTCTTCCTCCTCACTGTAAAGAGTAACATGGCAGCCATGCCGAGAGGTTGCCAAATGTTGAAATTGTTGTATCAATTCAGCCTAATGCACAACTCAAGGTTTGCAATTTCATTTTTATGCAAATTGTTTAAATTAATAAAACTCTCCTATAGGCCTTGTTTAGTTCATCTTATTTTTACTTATTTCAGAAAAAATAAGTTCAGATCAGAGTATAGTTTTATGTGTGGTTTTTTATCGCTAAATATTCTTAATTTCGTAGTGAAAAAAATTGTAAAAATTACATATTAATAAACTACACGTTATTACGAATCTAACAAGATCCCACTTGATATATTTTTTCCTTATAGATTATCGTACACTTAAGGTCAAAATTTGGTCAAACCTGCAATAATTAAATCCTGGACTGCTAAATTTGATTTTCATGCTGAGGTCTTAAGGTCTATTCCCCTCTGGGTGAAATTGCCTAATCTACCTCTGAATTGTTGGAGTGTTGATACTCTGAGTAGAATTGGAAGTACTCTAGGGGTTCCAATCTGTGCAGATGAATGTACTTCTAGACAGCTCAGAGTCTCTTTTGCTAGACTTCTGGTTGACATTGATGTGACCAAGCCTTTGCCAACCTCTGTTTGGGTTCAAAATCTAGAAGGTGAGGTAATTGAGCTTCAGGTTCAGTTTGAATGGTACCCCCCCTTTTGTAAGGACTGTAATCGAGTTGGACATGATTGTTCTATTCCTAAAACTCAGGCTAAGAATCAGCAACAAGGTGATGGGGTTAATAAAAAAAACCAGATTCAAGTTCAGAAGAAGGTATGGGTTCCAAAAGTAACTGGTCGAGTTCTTAGTAATGAAACAGGTCCTAAAGCAGGTGCTAATGTAGTCACTCCAGAAGCTCAAATTCAGAAACCTGAGGAGTGGCAGGTGGTTGCTAAAAAGTCTAAGCAAAAAGCTAGCAGGCAAGTCACTTATCCTGTGCTGAATTCAAACTCTTTTCAATTGTTACCCATGAAAGAGACATATGCTATTAATGTTGAAGACAAGAATCCTATCGGGGGTGATGGTAATCCCTCTCAGGGATCATGAAAGTTCTTTCTTGGAATATCAGGGGTCTCAATGACCCTGGGAAGGTAGCTGTTGTAAAACGGTTACTTTTAGAGCAAAATTCTGATGTTGTTTGCATTTTAGAAACTAAAGTTAAGGAGCATAGAAGTCAGGCTATTCAAAAGAAATTCGGTCTTTCTTGGACTTGGTACTGTAATTACTCTAGCTCTTCTAGAGGCAGAATATGGGTGGGTTGGAAAAATGATTACCTGACCCTTAATATTTTAGCTTCTACTGAGCAATTTATTCACTGTTTAATGTGCTCTAAAGATCTGCAGATTCAGATTTTAATTACTTTTGTGTATGGTCTTCATACTATTCAAGACAGGAAACAGCTGTGGTCTGGTCTTACAGGTTTACCTGCAGCTGTTATTCCTTGGTTATGTGTTGGTGATTTCAATTCTATTCTTTATGCTGAAGACAAAATGAATGGGGCTCCTGTTTCTGATTATGAAACTAGAGATTTCCAGCAGTGTATTGATGATTTAACTCTTGTTGAAATCAAAAGTAAAGGTGCTCCCTTTTCTTGGTGTAATAAGGCTCATATTGGTCCTAGGACTTTTACTAGGATTGATAGGGGTTTTGTAAATCAGGAATGGCTTAACCTTTATGGGCATGTTGAAGCTTTCTTTCTTCCTCCTTCCCTTTCTGATCACAGTCCTATTGCTCTGGATATTGTTCAGTCTCAGTCTGGGAAGGGAAGGCCTTTCAGATTTCTCAACTGTTTAGCTGGGCATGACAGTTTTCTGAGTACAGTTTCTGATGCTTGGCAATCTCATATCTCTGGAACTGCAATGTTCAGAGTTTGGTACAAGCTTAAACATGTTAAATCTGCTTTGAAGAATCTGAGCATTCAGAAACTTGGGGATATTAGTGCTAAGATTGATTCAGCCCATCACAACCTTTCTTCCATCCAGCATCAAATGTATAGTGACCTGGATAATGCAGAGTTGGGTTCTCAGGAGATTGTAGCTATTGCAGAAGTAAAAAAATGGCTTGGGATTCAAGAGAGCATTTATAAACAGAAGTCCCGAATTGAATGGCTCAAGCTTGGTGATGGGAACAGTAAGTTCTTTTTCTCTGTCATGAAGAGCAGGCAAAATAGAAACAGAATTGATGCTATTTATACTAAGCAGGATGTTCTTCTTAGGACCCCTGATGAAATTTCTCAGGAGCTAACTGATTTCTATAAAAAGCTTCTTGGTTCTAAAGCTAGCTCCCTCCCTGGTATTGATATTTCCTCAATGAGAAAAGGGAAGCAGTTAACTAGAGAAGCTCAAAATGCCCTTATTGCCCCTGTTACTATTGATGAAATTGATATAGCTCTTAAGGGGATTGATGATTTTAAGGCTCCAGGTATTGATGGTTTTAACTCCTGTTTCTTTAAGAAAGCTTGGAGTGTTGTGAAAAGTGATGTTTATGAAGGTGTTCTGGAATTCTTTAGAACTGGTATCCTTTTGAAGCAATGGAATTGTACAACAGTGACTCTTGTTCCTAAAGTGCAGAATCCCTCATATGCAAAGCAATTCAGGCATATAGCTTGTTGTACTGTTTTATATAAACTGATTTCTAAGATTCTTACTGCAAGGCTTGCTCTAGTTCTCCATGAGATCATTAATCCTTCACAAGCTGGGTTTATCCCTAGGAAGCACATTGGAGACAATATTTTACTTGCTACTGAGTTGATCAAAGG